TTTATTATTATATATATAATAATAATATAATAATATAATAATAATAATATAATAATATAAAATAGTTTATTATTATTATATATATATGTAACATGTGGTTTATTTTGAAAGGTCATTTATGGTCATTAAATGGAGATATTTAATAACAAGTTTAAAAATATTGGTAAAACTGATAACATGGTGGTATAACGTTGTTTCTAAGGGTGTATGATTTGCCAACCCAAATAGGTATGATGAACATTGTTTAGAAAAGTTTTAACACGTTCTCCGATGGCTGTAAATGGACTTGAGCCACATTCAAAAATCGATGACTTTTTAAATTTTTAATAGAGGCATCAAGTCCCTTGAAAAACAAATGAAATTAAGATAACAAGAAAAATTATTACAATTTTGTGTTATCTTAATTTCTCTTTTTATCTTAATTTATCTTAATTCTCGTGTTATCTTAATTTCTCTTTAAATCTTAATAAAATTAAAAACTATCCAACTTTTGTCCGCTATCGAGGAGACATTACGTTCAAATAATATTTCGTAAATTTATAATTCTTCCCCAATTTTCGTACGCGGGAGGGATAAAAAATAATTATGGTGGTATATAGTGTAGCAAGTCCGTTATATCGTTGTATTTTAGTGTTGCGATTGGTTCTTACATTTTCAAGTGTCTTTGTTCCCTTCGACGTGATAGCAAATCCAGAGTTTTGAACAGTGCATCCGCATTCATTGATGTTTTATGGTTCCGTTCTCAAAAATTGCATCCAACAGATTTTTAACAAATTTACTCTTTTCTCCATTTAAAAACCGTCTCTATGTTTAATGGAATTATTATTATTTAAAAAAATCACTATCTGAGCTAATCGAACACCACTGCTTTAATGATAAAAAAAAAATATAGCTCTCACTTGATAAAAATTTTACTGCGTAATATATTTGATGTCAGTTCGAAACTCTTAAAATGGCCACTTAGGCCACTTTCAAAATACAAATCTTTATCATTCTACTATTAACCAGCTAATTTCCTGTGTAGAAAATCTTAGCGATTTTAAATATATTAGTTACAATTTGTTGAAAAATGAAAAGATAACGTAGAAATGTAAATATTGAAGCTAGCTTGATCTTTTTGGAAAATGGCCACTTTGAAAATAAACGGCTCACGTGTTATACAGAGTAGTTGTCTGCAACTTTCGCTTGGATCAAGTTAGCACAAGTGCCAAGTAGCACAAAAGTTCATTTGTACGTATATTATAGAAATAAACTTTGACTGATGGTACAACGGTTACATGTTCTTATTGATTGTTAAATGTTGATTTTAAGTCTTTTTTTTTTTTTAAATCTTCTGTGTGAATTAACGCGGTAGAAAAATATATCGCTGTTTTAGAGTTTATTTATTAGTCTAAAAATACAGTAAATTTAATCGTCGAAATTACATTACATGTGTATGTTTGTGATTTGATCAGGTTTTAAAAAAAAACATACTCACTGTCTGAAAGTCTTGAGATATTTCTTTATTCTTAATATTCATGGCAGATGATAATTTCTTTATAAAGAATTATTTTCCTATAAAGATCTTGTAAAGTATTACTTGATTATTCCAATTTTGAAACAAATGGTAAAATTCGTTCTGAGACTTTTCAGCGCGAGTGTACATTATAAAATTGATCGATTAACTTTTATCGTGATTGAAATACTATTATTACAAACAGTTAAATAGTTGGTACAGTATAAAAAGTATTAATAATAATTACAGAAATGTGAATTAAATGTAACGTGAATTATAAACGATGTATGAATGTATCATTTCACACGTTCAATTTTAAAATATGCCCTGAAATAGCACGAGTATGCCTTCGTAACGTTAACACGTTCTTTTAAAAAAAAAGTCTTGGACTTTCTATAATCTTCTACGCTAGAATCGAGATCCCAGAAGTAAAAACACTGAGAAGTAGAAACACGAAAGAAGACGAAATAAGAGATGAAAAGAGGAATGAAATCAAAGTAGGAGGAAGAGAAAATCGAAGCTCGAGGTTAAACCGAGCGAGACGAAACGAAGGGAAGGAATGGAGCGGAGGATCAGGAACGTTAAAGAACGAGCCCGAGCATCCCCTTTTGCATCTACTTTCGTGTTTACACGTATCCTGCAGCCCATAAATAAGCTGGTGCGGTGTTGGACACGGTCGCTCGCGCACGGGGAAAACTTGACTAATTGCGAGAAATCTCTCTGACATCTCTGCCTGTTCCTTTCCGTCGTGATATCCTTCTCCGTTGCCCCGTGTGTTTCCTCCGAAACCGCTCTCCAACCATCGCCACGCCGGCTCTTTTTCCGCCTCTCGCGTGCCGATCTTCCTTCTGTCCCTCTGTAATGCACCTACGACACACATCCCGCGGTTTTTCCTCGGCCGTTCATCATCCCCGGGACTAATCTCTTCTACTTGAGCTCCGCTGACGCGTCGTTTGTCTTCCTTTTGCTCTATACCTATATATACGTTCAGCCACGGGCCAGCCATCAGCTTCTCCCTGAACATATACCGGCAGTGAAATCTCTCTCCGAAAGATCCTTTTAATTCGTTCGTTGCTTCCTTCCTTTCCGCGATCTTCTCTCACGCAGCTTCAAACAAATTGTAACAACTTACCGTTGTTATATGTGTATGATAGCTTATCCTTTTTAAATTTAGTCGATCTTCACTAGAATGGCTTCATAACTATCCTCCATTTTGATCATACAGTAAGTGAAATTTCAAGAAATTAAAAATACTTTCAATACTTAATTCAATTTAATATGGCAGAATGGTGCTTTGAATTTAAGATTCAAGAATAAAATTTAAATTTTTGTTAAAAATTTATATATATTCCAAGATTCAAACTCATTCTATTCAGATAACTTAATTTCATTTCATAACTTTGTAATAATATTTATCGTTATAATCACTTCATTGACACTATTTTTTATTATTGACTTTATAACAAATAGCTGCTTAAACTTAAACCTACTAAAAAAATCATACAATTGAGATCGTGATGGACTATTATACCTAGAATAATTTTTTCAACTATTTGCTATCCAGCTCTAAAAATTCTATACTTTATTGACGAAATAATAAATCCTTATTTTTCAATTAAGGCTATTGGACATCAATGATCTTATGAATATCTTGAATTCAGTGTTATATAAAAGATCAATTAGATATTGACAGATTTCGTCTATTAGAAATTGATAACCGACTTAATTATCCCATTTAAAATTTCATTGCGATTAATTGTAACGCGACATGCGGGGGGAAAAAATGTGAATCTTTCATTCTTTCATTCTGTTTTTTTTTTTTTTTTAGAGACAATTTTAAGCAGTATAGAATCTTGAAGAGTGTCACAAAATGTGAGTAAAATTCTAGAAGTTCAATGCTGAATGAGGGTATGACAAATTGAGAATGTAATATATTGTAAATTGAGTAAAATTCTCACAAATAAGTAAATAATATATTATAAAGTGAGTAAAATTCT